CACCCCCCACCCCCCGCGCCCGCGGCCTCACTCGGCGGACACGGCCGGGAGCAGGGACCAGCGGCCGCTCATTGGTTACTGCGGAGTAGGGGAGGGGCGGGGAGGGAGGAGGAAGGATGCAGGGAGGGAATGAAATGGGCCTTCAGGATGGGGGAGGCGGGGAGGGAGACAGAACAGAGATAGAAACAGGGAGCCTGAGAGGGGCAGAGACACAAAGACGAAAGAGACAGAGAGGGAGAGACAGAGACAGAGAGACAGAGAGATTCTGATACTCTAAGACTCGCGGGTCCTGAGACTGGAGAGAACAGATAGAGACAGGAGAGAGAGAGAGAGAGAGAAAGACCCTAAGGAGGGACAGCGGCGTGGGGGGGGGTGTCCCCTGATGAAGACTGGGCTGTATCCAGACAAGGGGCAGAGCCTGGATTCTGGGCAGCTGGAGGAGGCGGGAGGGGGCTTCCCGGGCCAGGGTCCCCAGAGCAGCGGGCCAGCGGGCGGGCGCAGAGCAGAGCCGGGTCCTGCAGCCGCCGCGGAGCCGGGAGCAGGGCCAACCCCCCCCCCCGCCGTGATGTCAGCGGGGCCACTCTTAAAGGGGCAGGCCGCCTGCCGAGGGTCGGGGATTAGGCTGGAGCCTGCAGGAGCAGGATAGGGGTACAACTGTGAGTGATGCAAGAGACAAGGCAGCCTCAGCATCCGGCCGGAGTGAGACCTAGAAATCCAGGAGCCTGCAGAGAAGAGAAAATACCCCGGTTCTCAAAAGAATCTGCGAAGCTTTGGGACTCTGTTCCTTCCAAACACACTGACAGGCACACCACTCTGCTGGCCTGCCGGGTCCAGGGACTACATTCCCCATCAGCCCAGGCTGCCAGAGGCCAGCACCTGGGGGAGGTGTCTGCCGCAATGTCCATTGGGAAATGTAGTCTATCTCGAGTGCCCCCCTCCTCCCCCCTACCACTTGCAAGTGGGTCAGGGGAGAAAAGGCCTGGGGCAAGCTTCCGCCAGCCTTCTGCCTTGATAGCTAACTCCTAAGCTTCCAAGTTTAGATTGTTTTGACTTCTGTGTGGTGGGGTGCTTTGTCCTGAGAAGTCTCTCTACAGGAGGCCAGCCTTTCCTCCCCATTTCCAGGACTCCTCTCCTCTCTCCTCTCTCTCTCTCTCTCTCTCTCTCTCTCTCTCTCGTGTGTGTGTGTGTGTGTGTGTGTGTGTGTGTGTGTGTGTGTAGCACTTGCAATTTGCTCTGGGTATCAATGGGTGGTTTGGAGGTAGAGGGGTCACTTCCTGACACAGTGAGAGGGCAAACCTTGTGTGCCTCCTTTGGTCTCATTGGTCCTCCCTGAAGCAGTCTTTCTGTCTCTCGGGGTGTCTTTCATTTTATAGATCTCTCTCTCTCTCTCTCTCTCCCCTTCCTGTGTTTGTTTCTATCTATGGTCCCACCTCCGCACCCCCTTCATTCCCCAGAAAACATCCAAACATTTCAGCATCAGCATCTCAAATTTATTCTCCAGCAGCTGTGGCTGGGTGGAAAAGGCTAAAGGAAAAAGGGGGGCGGATGGGGGGAGTCCCAGAGAGTGGAGTGGCAGGCACTGCAGAGAAGTGGGGTGATTCTGACCAAGGCTTGGAGCCATGCACGGGGCTGGTTCGGGATGGGAAAGTCTAGAACAAAAGCCGATTAACAAGAGTCAGGAAAAGAATCCTCCGTGCATGCCAGGAATCCCCAGAGAGTGGAAGGGAGGTGGCCTGGAACAACCAGGCCTAGCCTCCCACTTACTCTACAACTGAAGTGGAGGTGGGAGGGGCCTCGGAGGATTGGGGAGGATCTGGAATCCGAGTCTGGATTAGGCAATCCCGTGAGACTATTTCCCCAAGGGTGGTGTGGGGGAGAGAAGGCATCAAACTATCAAGATGCAATCTAGAACCCCACGGAATGGGGTTCCGGGACCTGTTGGAGCAGCATCCAGATGTTGGGGGGTGGAGGGGGGACAACACAGGGCTCGGCACAGCAGAATCTAGAACACAGGAAGGCGCTAGAGACTGTATGGCGTTTAGAATGCCAGCAATGCTTGGGAACGGCATCTAGAACCCGTGAGTGGCGGGGAAGAGGCCAGAGTGCTGGATGGAGTGAAGGACGCGGGGGGAGGGGGGGGCTGCAGCCGGCTCGGCGGAGGGGGCATCGGTGACACCTAGCGGCGACAGGTGGTATGGTGGTATTACATGACTGGCACGGGCACTGGGCTGGTGGGGCTGCGGGCATCTGGGTGCACAAAGTCAGGATTCACGTAAGTGAAGCCCTGGAAGTCCGCCTGGTCGATGCTGGCCAGAACCAGGCGGTCTGGAGGGGTCAGAGCTGGAGCTGCCCGTGTGAAAAACTTATCGAAGTTTTCGCCACTGCGGCCACACTGTGAAGAGAGAGAAGGGAAAGTTAAGTCCAGGTATCAGCCTCCTCCAAGATCGATGCACATCCTCTGCAGAGGGGACCCCTACCCCCACCTCCACATATAGACATTGAGGCAGGAGCGTCCCACCCTCTAGGGACCAAAGATCGGAAGGTGACTGACTGACCGGGCGTGGTCTGAATGGAGGGGCAATCTCCAATCGCTCCAGCCTCTCCCAGTCGATCCAGCGGAAAAAGCCATGTGCACGGATGGTGGGCTCGCCATCCGGCCCTGAGCCCAAGCGCTTTCCTGGATGCTTGGTCAGGAACTGTGGAAAACATATAGTGAGGGGTCTTCCAGATGGCTCAGCGGGTAAAGGTACTTGCTGCCAAGCCTGACCTGCTGAGTTTGATCCCCAGGTCCCATACAGTGAAAGGAGAGACTAGTGTCCAGCAAGCTGTCCTTTGACCTCTATGCACAGGCTATGGCATGCACATGGGTCCCCATAAACATATGTAAACAATTAAAACGTAAGTCACACACACAAAATGAGACACACAGAGAGATGGATGGACAAACAGAATCCATGACAGGAGAATGCAAGGGCTGAGAAACATAATTACAGAAGGCTTGAAGGAAGCAGTGCAGGGATCTGGAGGGATAAGAACAGGTAGGGCAGAATGGGGGAGGAGGGGAAGGAGCAGATAGAGAGAGGAAGAGAGAGAATAAATGGCAGGGGATTAGGATGCAGACAGAGATAGTCAGGGACCAAGAAAGAAAAGGGTAAAGAAAAAGAAAAGAAAAGAAAAAAAAAAAACCAAACAGGACAAGTGAGATGGCTCAGCAGGTATTTGCAGCCAAGCCTGATAGCTTGAGTTTGATCCCCAGAACCTATGTGATGGAAGGAGAGAACGGACTCCCTCAAGTTGTCCTCTGAACTCCATACGTGCACTGTGAGCTGAGCATGCACAAGTATGTTCTCTGACACCCCCCATGGGTGTGTATGTCCAATTAAATAAATAAATAAAAATCATTAAAATAAAATTCAAATGTGATGGTGTGAGGGTCAGAGAGCCAACTCTTCAAACAGAAAAGTGGAGACATGAGAAAAATCCTCAAAGAGGGGGAAAGCACTTGGAAAGCAGAGAGAGAGGCAGGTGGATCTCTGTGAGTTCAAGGCCAGCCTGGTCTACATAGTGAGTTCCAGGCCAGATGGGGCTACAGGGAGACCCTATGTCAAAAAGACAAAAAAAAGAGGAGGAAGAAGAAGAGGATGAGTAGGGAGAAAGAGAGAGAGAGAGAGAGAGAGAGAGAGAGAGAGAGAGAACAGCTGACATATCTTGAAGACCTCCCATGGGCCAGGTATTTTGTCCTGATGAACTCTTGGAGAAGAAGCTAAGGCTACAGTTTGGGGGAGCTCTTCAAGAGCTCCTGGGGAATAAAACTACAGAAGCTGGCCCATCCAGCTTTAACACAGGGGCAGGGGTGGGGCTGCAAAGGATGGTGGGAAAATATGATTCTAAGAAAACTTGTGCTTTCAACCGACTTTTACAGCAGATGGAAGTAGAGAAATTTGAATAACAGAAGCCTTTTTCTAGAAAGAGGCGGCAATTGAGGTGCATGAGTTGGAGGTCTCACCCCCTTGCAGATGGCCACGGCTTCCCGGGAAAGTGACTTGGGGTAGGTGACAGTTTGCTCCATGATGGCCTGGAAAAGCTCCTCTTCATCCTCCCCATCAAAGGGCGGCTACAAAAGTAGAGGAAATAAAGTCAGAGATTCAACAGACTGTCTTTACAAAAGCTGCATCACCCACTTCAAACATGACCATCCTGATGATGCATCCCTACCCACCCACCCCCATGGACACCTGCCCTGGGAAAGAGCTGTCCACACTCCCCCACCTTCATCTCTCATTCCCCATCACACGTACATCCATTCTGTGTTTCTCTCTACTGTCTGGATATCTTTATCTGCTATGTAAATTAACAGGATATTAATTAGGCAATATGTCATCTAATGTTTGTATGTGAGAGAGAGACAGAAAGACAGAAAGAGGGAGAGAGGGACAGAGACAGTAAGAGAGACACAGATTTTGCAGCAAAGAGTAGAAATACATTATCTCCATTGAATAAGTGGTTCTTAGTCTTCTGGGGTTAGGAGAGGCAATACAAAACAGAAGTTTTGTGTACTTGTTTGTCTTGACACAAAGCCTCCTGTAACCCAGGCTATGTAACTGAGGATGACAGGTATGTTACATCAAACACGTTCTCTTTTTCATTTTTAAAGTTGTCCTTCTCATAACCATGCTACGGCTATTACGTGTTCTTTAAAGCATTTAAATGGTTCAGTAGACTGCTAAGGGGCCCGCAGAAACAAGAGGAACTGACAAAACGAAGAGAGGTGAAGGGCTCCTGCAGCGTGGTTTAAAACATGCTTCAGGACCATGGATAGCTCCACCCAAAGTCTTTCCCAAGGATCAGCTCGCTTCCTTGGACTTCAATCCACTTGAGGAATATAAGACCATGTAGGGGACAGCCCAGTGTGTGACCTTTAGCCAAGCCAGTCCCTCCCCATCTTCCCTTACCTGTCCTGCCAACATCTCATACAGCAGGACCCCAAAAGACCACCAGTCAACTGACTTTCCATAGGGCTGATAGGCAATGATCTAGAGGAAGGGGAGAAAACAATGAACTGTGACTTTACCTTTTTTGAGACAGGGTCTTCTGTAGCCTAGGCTGGCCTTGAACTATGTGCTAAGGATGACTTGAACTCCTGATCCTCTTGCCTCCCCCTCCCAAGTTCTGGGAATACAGATGTATGCCATTTCTGGCTGTAACCTCTTTAAGAAGTCTAGGATCCCTCCAGCCTCCCCCACTTCAACTGCTTTCAACACAAACGCTTCCCACTCAGAATAGTTTGGCAAGCGCCTCACTCTCTGGAAAATTCAGGAAACAAGGTTTATCTATTCACAACACTCACTTGCTGTCAAACATAAATACTACTTAAGGGCTAGTGAGATGGTTCCGTAGGTAAAGGTACTTGCCACACAAGCCTGGTGACCTGAATTTGATCCTCAGAGCAAAGGTGGAAGGAGATACTAATTTTACAAAGAAATATCCCAGAGGGGCTGGAGAGATGGCTCAGCGGTTAAGAGCACTGGCTGCTCTTGAAGAGGACCCGGGTTCGAATCCCGGCACCCACATGGGAGCTAACAAACCATCTGTAACTCCAGTTCCAGGGGATCTGACACCATCTTCTGACCTCCATGGGCACTGCATGACATGGGTGCACTTACATGCATGCAGGCAATACACTCATACACAAAAAATAAAGACAATAAAATATTTTTAAAAAACACAAAGAAATGCCCCCGAACTTCACATGCATGCTGTTGTATACATGTCCATGTGCACACACAATAATAATAACTTTTTAAAAATTTAAAGACTATTGGGCTGGAGAGATTGCTCAGCGGTTGAGAACACGGACTGTTCTTGCAGAAGACCCGGGTTCAAATCCCAGCATCCACGTGGTAACTAACAACTGTCTGTAGCTCCAGTTCCAGGGAATCCAACAGCCTCTTCCGTCTTCCAAGGGCATTGCACAACACGGGTGCACTTACCTACATGCAGGCAATACACGCATACACATAAAATAAAAATAAATAATAAATAAAATATTTTAAAAATTTAAAGACTATCTAAGGGTAAGGCCACACAGTCCAAACATCTGGAGTATGTGGGTAAATATAACTTCTCCTTGAATGCTAAATGTACAAAGTTAAATTTTATTTTATTTATTTACTTATGTGGAGGGAGTGCTCACTACACTTCTGTGGCAGTCAGAGAACAACTTTCAGGAGTTAGTCCTCTCCTTCCAACCATGTGGGTCCCAGGGATGAAACTCAGGTCATCAGGCTTGGCAGCACGTTCCTTCACCCAGAGCCATCTCACTGACCCTAGGGCTAAATTTTAAAGACAGGCTCTCATGTAGCTCAGGAGGGCCTTGAATTCTCACCATGTAAGACAAGAATAATCTTGAAATTCTGATCCTCTTGCCTCAACCTCCTGAGTGAATCACCATATCTGACTTTCTTCTTTTTCTTTTCTGGCATTTTTTTGTTTTTTGTTTTTGTTTGTTTTGTTTTTTGTGTTTTGTTTTCCTAAGACAGGTTTCCCTCACCCTGGAGATCTTCCTGCCTCAGCCTCCCAAGGTCTGAGATTACAAGTGTGTACTACTACCCTTGGCTGAGGCCAGAGATACTTAACTGAAAGCACATCAGATTCATCTCAGGGACTATTTAATATGTGCTTCTAATCTTGGAAGAATTCTAGCCTCAATATACCAAACTCACAGTCTGGAAGGTGTGTGTGTTTTTTGAACTTTCTGCAGCAGATTTGAGTTACTAGCCAGGTTTTGTGACCACTGACATTACTTGGGCTCTAACATTGATCCACTGAAAAGGTAAAGAGACGGCATTCCTGACACGTCCTTTCCACCTTTAAAAAAAGCCAGGACACGCATTCTACCTATCTAAAACTGCAGGACATTATCTCCAGCTCTTTACAACCCCAGTGAAATCCTTGCCCACTGGAAAAACTAAAAGGACAATCTGCTCCCGTGGGATGCTCAGGGGTTTGACCTTTGCCTTGTAGCATGGCACAAAAGTGGCCTACTTACATCACAGACTCATGTGCAAGGTGAAGATCCATGGTCAACCCCCAACACCAGAAAAACAAAGCATGACCTAGCCACATGGTGGGATGTAGCTCAGTTGGTAAGGCACTCGCCTAGCATGCACAAAAAACTGGGTCCAAACTCCAGCATCACATAAAACTGGGTGTGGGGTTAAAAGAGGGCTAGGGAAATGGCTTAGTGGTTAAAGTGCTTGCTGCAGAAGCCTGAGGACCAAAGTTTGGATCCTGAAAATCCACATAAATGCCAGTGGGTATAGTGGCCTACCTGTAACTCCAGCCTTGGAAGGCAGAAACAGGAGATCCTCAGAGCAAGACTAGCCTTATTGGCAGGCTCTGGGCTTGACTGAGACCTCGCCTCCATGAATAAGGTGGAAGACCAACGAAGGATGACTCCTGACTTCAACCTTGGGCCTCCACATGCACACACACACACACACACACACACACACACCAATGTACATACACCTACATACACGTGTGTCCACACCATGCAAATATGCATACATATGCACACCACATAGACAAAATGATCTAAAAAGAAAAACAACAATAACAAAACTACATGCAATATTTACCAGTGAGCTGCCATTCAATTCAGTACTAAAGGGTAAGCCCCAGCTAGTCAGAATACACAAGAAACAAAGCCCCAGCCACTCAAAATATATGTAGAAATAATCTCCACCTTAGAACAGTGCAAGCTCTACTCAGGATTCTTACAAGCTGATCTCACTCCCTTAGACCATCCATCCACAAGTTCTGCTCACTTAACTCACCTGGAGACCCAGCTCCCCCTCTGAAAGTACTCAATACACAGGCCTCCCCACACAGGCCTCTTGCTACATCTCGTAAGATGCCCACAAGTCAAGGACAAGTCTCACCTATCAGGAGTATTAACCAGCCACTCCCACTGAGAGATGTCAGAGCACCCCCAGAGCGGAGCAAGGCTCAGGGTTACCTCAGGTGCTATGTAGTCTGGGGTTCCACAGAATGTGCGGGTTGTGGACCCCGGGAAGACATTCTCTTTACACATGCCAAAGTCTGTGATCTTGATGTGCCCTTCAGCATCCAGCATCACATTATCCAACTTGAGGTCCCTGTTGTACAGGAAGTGCAAAAAGGAATTGCAGAAAAGTGATGTGACAGTTTTAATTATCAACTCGACATAACACACAATCCCCTGTGCAGAGACTCTCAATGAGGTATTGTCTGGATCAGGTTGGCCTGTGGGCATGTCTATAGGTGATTGTCTGGATTACCTTAACTGAGGTAGGCAGACCTAGCCCACTGTGGGCAGCACCATCCCCCAGACAGGAAAGCCTGAAGTGTGTAATAGTGGAGAGAGCGAGCTGAGGACTGGCTGCATGCATGATTAACTCAGTGCTTCCTGCTCCGCACTATGATGTGACTAATTCCCTACCACCCTGACTCCCCCAGTGATGGACTACAACTGTGAGCTCAACTGTTTCCCCTCAGCTGTTTCTGTTATAGTGTTTTGAACACAGCAACAGGAAATGAAACTAAGATTAGCATTCTAGAGCTGTATGTTGAAATTCCTTCCTCTCCAGGGGTCTGTTTTCCCTACATGGAACATTCTGGGGCTGCTGACCTGTAGATGATGCCCTGATTGTGAAGGAAGAAGAGGCCAATGGCGATTTCTGCTGCATAGAACCTGGAGAAGCATGTGAGAAGTTGGAAGGTCAGAGACTGGACACACCTCCCCCTGCCTCCAGCTCCTTTCACCTTTGCTGACACTCACGCTGCATGTGGTTCCTTAAACTTGCCCAGCTGCTGAATGTGGTACATTAAATCGCCCCCGGTGACATACTCCATCACGAAATACAAGCGGTCCTGGGGAGGGAGGAGTGGACATAGCTTAGTGGCAGGGACACACCTACTTGGACAGGAAGAACTTTTTCTTTTTTTTAAGACAGGTCTCACGTATCCAAGGCTGGCCTCAAACTCGCTATGTAGACGCAGATGGCCTTGAACTCCCGATCCTCCTTTTCCTAAACTTTATCTTGCCCACTAGGGACAAACATAGAGGGTTCCAGATCCACTCAACTAGTAATCCAGAGGAACTGGCCACACCCACAGGAAGGACCCCAAGGTTCTAACCCTGATACCTCAGACCCTCCTCATCCCTCTATCTATGTTACTCTCCTTACCTGTCATTCTGGCCCTGCTTCCTAAGAGACCCACAAAATTGGACTGAAATCCAGGAACATACAATCTCTTTCCATATCCAGTTAAATGCCCATACAGTTCTGGCTGCCTAAGACTGAAGGTGGTCAGGCTTCATCTGCAATTAGTATTTTTGTTTATTTAGGGTGTGGGATTGTGTGTGTGTGTGTGTGTGTGTGGTGTATGCACATGAATATACACAGGTGCATGCACCCGCGTGTGCATGTGTGGGGTCAAGGGACGTGGGGTGTCCTGCTGTACCACGCTTTATCTTATTCCCTTGAGACTGGGTCTCTCACTGAACCTGGAGTTAGATTAGCAGCCAGTGAGCCCAAAGGATCTTGTGTCTACTCGCCCACAACACTGGAGTTACAGATTCAGGAAGCCATGATGAGCTTTTTTTACATGGGTGGTGGGGATTTGAACTCAGGTCCTCATGCCTATATAACAGCACTCTTATCCACTCAGCCATTTCTGCAGCTCTCCTTATTATTACTTTGAGACAGGGTCTCATTCTATAGCCCTAGCTGGCCTAGAACTCTCTAGGTAGACCAGGCTGAGCTTGATGCCTACAGGGAGCTGCATGTGTCACCAAGTCTGGCTTGTTTTTGACTGTTTTGATTTGTTTTTGAGACAAGATCTCCCTGTGTGGCCCAGGCTAACTTCAAGCTCATGGCAATCCTCCTGCCTCAACCCCCTAGTGGCAGGATGACAGGCATTTGCCACTAGGCTCGGCTACCTGTAATTATTGTTATTTTTTTCCCCAGTCAGAGCCCCTGTAAAGTCACACCATTCCCAAGCCCTGGAGGTTCTTACTTTAATTCCTCAGTCTTGGGGAAATACCCCATTTATGACTCATCCTTCAGTTAGAATCCAGAAGTGATGAGCTCACCACGGGGAGCCCAGTCATTCTGGGTGTGCCCAAAGGGAAGACATCCCCAGGGGCTGGGAATATGGCTCAGTTGGTAGAATGCTTGCCTAGCATGCACGAAGCCCTGAGGTCAAGCCCCAGCACCACATAAACAGGTTCATCCTCCAGTACATAGCAAATTTGAAGCCAGTTGTAACTACATGAGACCCTGTATCAAGAAAAGAGAAGAAACTACAAGGAAAAGCAGAACACATACCCAGCCAATGTATTCCTGGGCTCAGACCACGGAATGCTGGCCACAGGCACTGAAAACTGAGTTCACAGGAATCACAAGCATTCTGACCATGCCCACTCTGGAGCCCATCCCTCTGCCCACACCCCACAGCACCAACATCTCCACCCTACTGAATCTCACCTGTTTTAACACATTCATTAGGGTGTTTTGTTAAATTACTTAAAAAATTATTTTTATGCCAGGCATAGTGGTGCACACCTTTAATCTCAGCACTTGGGAGGCAGAGGCAGGCAGATCTTTGTGAGATCAAGACCAGACTGGTCTACAAAGTGAGTTCCAGGCCACCTGGGGCTACAGGGAGACCCTATTTTGAAAAACCCCAAAACAAAATTATTTTTATTATGTGTATGTGTGGGTGCCTATGTGTGGGTATGTGCATGTGAGTGCAGGTGACCAGAAGCATTAGATCCCCCCTGGAGCTGGAGTTACAGTTGTGAGCTACCCAACATGGACACTGGGAACCAAACTCAGGTCCTCTGCATGGGCAGTACATGTTCTTAACCACTGAGCCATCTCACCAGCCCCACATTCATTCATTTCTAAAATTAATTTGTGTGTGTGGCATATGTGGGTGTATGTGTTTGGTGCGTGCATGTGAGGGTGCATTGGTGTCTTCTGTTGCTCTCTGAGACAGCATCTCTCACTGAACATCACCATTGGCTCTTGGGCTCCACCTACCTCTGACCCCAATACTGGGATTACAGGCACACACAGCCACATCTGGCATTTTACTTGAGCCTGGAAATTTTTCTTAATTTTTATTTATTTATTTATTTATTTATTATTTATTTATTTATTTTGTGTGTGCGTGTGTGTATGGGTGTCTTGTCTGCATATAAGTGCACCCATGTTGTGCAATACCCATAAAGGTCAAAAGAAGGCTTGGGATCCCTAGAACTGGAGTTACAGATGGTTTTTGGCTGCCATGTGGGTGCTGGTAATTGAACCTTGGTCCTCTGCAAGAGCAGTTAGTGCTCTTAATCACTGAGCCAAGTGATTGGGGATTTTGGCATTGAACCAAGGCTGGGAATTTTGAACTCAATCACACTCTTACCCACTGAACCATCTCTCAGCCCTGGCCACACCCTCTCAGAGAACAGAGTTCTTTTTTGCTTTCTCTAAACTCAGAATTCCAAAGCACAAATGCATCCCTCCTTCCTCACCACATCCCTGCATCCCTCCATCCCTCTTTCCTCACTGCATCTCTCCTTCCTCCCTGCATCCCTCCATCCCTCCTTCCTCACCGGTGTCTGGAAGGTGGAATGGAGCTGTGTGAGGAAGTGGGGCCGGCCTCCAGGACCTCGGCCTCCTAGTGCCAGCACCCGCTTCTCCACTAGGGTGCAGTCCACATCATCATCCTGGACAATGACATCTTTTTTCAGGATCTTGATGGCGTAGAGTTCATCAGAGCCTCTGCGTTCAGCCAGCATCACCTACAGACAGATGTGCAAAAAGGCCAGTCCATTTGGGAAATTCAGTGGCACAGGGCCTTCCCCCACCTTACACAGAGAAAACAGGATCTAAGGTCCATCCTTCTCTCTCAGGGAACTAGGACTTCTGAATTTGCATCCATCCCTCAAGAAAAGTACTGGCATGTTTAATGTTTTATTACATTTATATTTTACGGGAGGACAGATGCCATAGTGTGTGTGTGTGTGTGTGTGTGTGTGTGTGTGTGTGTGTAAGTCAGAGGACAACTCAGGGGGAGTCACTTCTCTCTTTCCATTACTTGGGTCCAGGGGATTAAACTCAGATTGTCAGGTTTGTGGCAAGCACCTTTACCTGATGAGCCATCTTGTATCAGCCCAGTATTAGTATATTTACAATGGCCTCTCCATGTATCCAAGCCTGAGCTAACTCCATTTAGGGATTCCAGAGCCCAGTGTCACCCCACACCCACATTTCCCCCCTAAGGATCAGAAATCCAACCTCCCTGCAGGCTTCATCCCCTTCCCCCAGAACCCCAGGAATCCAACCTTCCCGAAACTGCCTTTCCCTAGAACCATGAGGAAGCTGAAGTCAGAGATGTGCAGGCGTCCAGGGCTGGCACCAAAGAAACAGCGCTTGGAGTCGGTGGGACTGGGGGATGGGGAGGGGATGGGGGAGGAAGAGGGGCCCATCCGCACTCTCTGTGAGAAAGGAGAGAGACAGATGCAGAGACAGTCAGATCCCAGAGAAGTATAGAGATGTTCCTAAGAGATGCAGCATCCAAGAAGGGAGAAGGAGAGATGGTGAGAAAAAAAACACTATTGCTCCAGTCTGTGTTTGGCTCAAGAACTTTGTCTAGCCAGGTTTGTCTGTGATCCCAGAACCAGGATGGCTGAAGTAAGCAGTGGAGATTTGAGGGCACTCTCAGTTATACAGGGAGAACTTGTCAAAGGAAGGAAGGGAGGGAGGGAGGGAGGGAGGGAGGGAAGAAAGAGTTAGGGTGGGAAGGAGGGAGGGAGGAAGGAAGTTAGAGATAGGAATGAAATTAAGCAATTAAGAAATAGGGGAGGCTGGAGAGATGGCTCAGAGGTTAAGAGCACTGGCTGCTCGTGCAGAGGACCTGGGTTCAGTTCCCAGCACCCACACTGGTGCTTACAACCACCTGTAACCCCAGTTCTATGGAATTTGATGCCCTCTTTTGGCCTCCATGGGCACTGCATGCAGGTGGTACACATACATACATAAGGCAAATATTCATGCACATAAAATAAAAATAATTAAAAAAATATTTTATTTGGGGGGCTGGAGAGATGGTTCAGTGGTTAAGAGCACTGGCTGTTCTTGCATGAGACCCAGGTTCAGTTCCCAGGACTCACATGGTGGCTAACAACCATCCATAACTCCACATCTAGGGGATCCCACACCCTTTTCTGTCCTCAGTGGGCACTGCACGACACAGGAGTTCTTATATACATGCAAGTAAGTTATTTTTATGGTAGGATTGTCATGCTTATGTGCAATTGTTAGCTACCGTGTGGGTGCTGGGAACTGAACCCAGGTCTTCTATTAGAGTAGCAAGTGCTCTTAACCTCTGAGCCATCTCTCTAGCCCCAAAATAAAAATAATTTTCTAAAAATAGAAATAAGAGAGGAAAGAGGGAGGGAAGAAGAGAGGGAGAGAAAGAGGGAGGAAGGGAGGGAAAGAGAGAAGGAGGGGAGAGAGGGAGGAAGGGAGGAAGGGACTCTCCATAGCCTGTTGAACTTACTATTTAACCAAAACCTAGTTTGCTATGTACCACCTCTGGAAACCTTGCTATTGCCCCATTTTACAGAGAGGAAACAGGAAAAGAAAGGCAGCAAAAACAGATCTCGGGGTCCCACTCCCAGATTTTCTGGGGTTGAGGCCTGAGAATCCAAACTTGGAACAAGTTCTAAGGCAACACTGCCTGCTGTCAGGTTGAGGACCATACCGGGTCTTTAGTATTGGCATCGTCTCCATCTTTTCCTGTCCCAGCTCCCAGGAAGGGGGTCCCATGACTGAACTGCAATGGCTCCCACACGTGCCCTCTACATCCACTGCTGTACCTTCTAATGTGTTCTCTACTCAGCAGGCAGAAGGACCAATTTAAAAATAAATAAACCAGGTCATGTCTCCCCTATGCTTTCAATGCCTCTAACGGTTCTCTGTGTATTAAGATTTTATTCCATGCTGTTTCAAGACCAGGTTCTGATGCATCCTGAGTATCCCTCTCCACTCTGTCCCTCCCTCTTCCATGGCACAGGACATCACTCCATTCATCTGGCCCTCTTCCCCTCAAGGCCTTGGGAGGTGACGTTCAGTCTTCCTGAAGACTCTCCCATCTCTTTTCCTCCAAGCTATTTCTCAGATGTCCTGTAGACCTGAATCAAGTGTTGTTTTTTGACAGGTTTCTCCTTATTTGTTTTATCGGGTCAGATGTCTCTGGAGGCCCCGTTGTTACCACGGACAGCTCCTGCACAGCCCTGAGTAATTAGCATCTCTCCATCTGTGTGACTATCTGCTGACCCCCTGTGAACTCCTACACAGAGACCTGTGTGTTCTCTAAGACAGTGTGCCTGGGGTAGGGATTAACTACAGATATATTGAAAGAGAGAAGATGAAAGAGATAGACAAGAAGAGACAGAATGGGAGAGATGATTCTCTTTTTTTTCCAGACAGGCTCTCTTGTAGCCCTGGCCAGCCTCAAACTTGTCATGTAGCTGAGGATGACCTTGAACTCCTGGTCCCCCTGCCTCTATTTCCCAAGTGCTGGGATTACAGGGATGAGCCACCAAGCCCCAGCTTCAAAAAATATTTATCGATAGTGTTCTTATATAGAAAATCAGTCTGATTTTCTGGATTTGGAAAGAGTTCTCTGATGGGGAACTCCTCTTCATAACCTCACACAGTGTCAGGATAGTAAGAATAACTTCCAATAAATAGCATTAGGAAGAGGAGGTGACTACCATATGCAAATCACTCGGAATAATACTCAGAAAATGCACCAAGGATTTCTTTTTCTGTTCTGGTCCTTGAATAGGCTAGACCAGCAAGCACTCTTAACACTGAGCTATATCCCCATCCCTCTGAGAGTTTTTTTTTTTTTAAACCATGATGGGGGTTGGATCCAGGGCCTCAGGCACCCCAGGTAAGCACTTGATCTATGGCCCAATCCTTAATTTTATTTTTATAATTTTTTTAATGTGTATGAGTGTATTCCCTACATATATGTAAGTGCACCCATGTTGTGCAATGCCTGAGGAAGACAGAAGAGGCTGTCGGATCCCCTGGAACTGGAGTTACAGACAGTTGTTAGCTGCCATGTGGGTTCTGGGATTCAAACCCAGGTCTTCTGCAAGAGCAACCAGTGCTCTTAATCGCTGAGCCATCTCTCCAGTCCTAGTTTTTATTTTTTGAGATGGAGCTTACATTCTTGCTCATTCTGGCCTGGAACTCAATATGAAGCCCAGTCTGGCTTTGAACCGCAGCAATCCTTCTGCCTCAGCCTGTTGAATGCTGGAATTAGAGGCCTAAGCCACCATGGCAGACTAACAAGATTCTCACGTTTGCTATTATTGCTCTACCCCCAGGACCTGTTCAGGGTTTAGTTCATGGTAGGTATGTGTTCCTAATATCAATAGGTACCTACTGATTATGGAGATAGCTGTAAAGAGTACTACACACACAGTCAAACCTATTATTGATCCTCATGGATTAAGCAGGTAGTCAATAATGTCCACACTGGGTGTGGTGGTGCATGCCTATGATGCCAGCTCTAGGGAGAAGGTGGTAGGAGAAACATGTATCTAAAGCCAGGATCAGCTACATAATGAGTTTGATGCCAGCCTGAGCTATAGGATCTCCCTTTTCCTTCCCTCTCAACACCACCCAGCAGGTAGCTCGGTGAACAGAAGGCACTAAATAGATGACGACCCCAGGAAATGGGTGATGAATGTATTTTCCATTGCTCGGCCTTCAGAGCGCACCTAATTTTCCCAGCAACCTTCTTCCAGCATCCACCTTTTTCCAAGGCATGATGGATAGCTTTAGTTGTTAACTTGACACACCTGGGTTGAGGGAGTCTAAATCCACTGTGGGTGGTGCCACCCCTGGGCAGGTGGTCCTGTGTTGTATAAGAAAGCAGGTTGAGCACAGGCCAGGGGAGCAAGCCAGTAAGCAGTGTTCCTCCAAGACCTGTGCTTCAGCTCCTGCCTCCAGGTTCCTGCCTGGATGAACTGTGACCCAGGAGATGTAAGCCAAATAAACCCTTTCCTCCCCAAGGTGGTATTGGTCAGAGTGTTTTGTCACAGCAACTGAAGGCAGACTAGAACAGAAGGTGATTGTTGAGACAGGATCTCACTGCATAAGCCAGGTTAGGCTTGCACCTGTGACTACACTCCCAAACGCTGGGGTTGCAGGCATGCACCACTATACCCAGCCCTGCTCTACCTTTCTACCTCCTCCACACAGAGCCAGTGACAAGCTTCACTATGCAGCCCTGACTGGCCTGGAATTCACTACATAGGCCAGGCTGGTCTTGAACTTACAGAGATCCACCTGCCTCTGCCTCCCAAGTGCTATAATTAAAGATGTGCACCACCATGCCCTTTTGAATATACCTCTGCTCAGAACCTGTACCCCCACAGCCTAGCCTGGCTTACAAGCCAAGATCCTCCAGAGACATGAAAGGCACTTCCTTCACCTTGGGCTCCTCTCCCTTCCCCCCAGCTCTCCTTGCCTCAACATCACTGTCCCCAGCTCTTCTGGTCTACCCCCACCTCAGGGGCTCACCAGAGGCCTTGCCTCTGCTGCAAGGCCCTTTCTCTGGGGATCCTTGTTTTTCTCATCTCATTTAGGTCTGCCAAACAGTCACTTTCTGAGGGAAGCCTTCCTGCTCAGTGTAAGCTCACATTATTATCAGCAGAATTCCCTCAGCTACGCAAACAAGATCAAATATTAGCCACAGAATTTCCTGTGCTCCTCAAGGCTCATTTTTTCCTTTATCACTGTGACTTTCTAAAATATTATCATGCACTTTTTCTTTACTAAGAATTGGACTGAGGGTCTGGAGAGATAGCTCAGCGATTAAGAGGAACTGGGTTCGATTCCTAGCATCCGTATGGTAGCTAACAACCATTTGTAACTCCAGTTCCAGGGGATCCAACGCCTTCTTCTTCACAACTCAGGTACACTTACACACATGCAGGCAATATACTCATACACATAAAATAAAAATAAATTTAAGAAAAAGAAGAAGAGGACTGAATCTAGAGTTTAATGAATGCCAGATAGGTGCTCTACCTCTGACCCATGCCCCCAGCCCCTCACTGGGGGATTCTAGGCAGGTGCTCTACCTATGAGCCACAGCCCCCAGTTCTTCATCTAGGAGGGGCTCTACCACTGAGCCACAATCCCGGTCCCTCACTGGGGGATTCTAGACAGGGGTCTACCACTGAGCCACAATCCTAGCCCCTCACTGGGGGATCCCAGGCAGGGCTATACCACTGAGCCATGCCCCAACCTCTCACTGGGAGATTGGAGTCAGGGTCTATTAATGAGCCACATCCCCAGTCCCTCTAGGCAATAATCTCAGACCCTCTTTTTCATAGTTTGAGACACACTCATCAAGTTGTCTAGCCTATCTTTGAACTCACTCTGTAGTCCAAGCTGTCCTTGAACTCATTCAGTAGAAAGCAAACCTTGAACTTGTATAGGCCTGCAGCCCAGGCTAGACCTTATTTATTTTATGTCAGGTGTTCCTTCAAATGTGAACTCCACGAAGGAAAGACTGTTCTCAACTCTGTAGATGCCCCCCAGTGACTGGACTCATGCCTTACACACAGAGGAGTGCTTTTT